ATAAATATATACATTTCTGCCCCCATATCTTGAATTTTGTGATCATTCTAAATGCATTTTAGTAAACTGAATCATGCAGTGAAAGAGCGCGCACTGGTCTAACCTACTAGCCTTTAGCTAACTTACATTGTAGCTCTCTCGTGAGTCATGGATGTTAGCAAGACAAATTAACTATATTTGCCTTTTGTCTTTTGGATAATTAGCTGTAAATTGGAGGCACAGGTAGCTTAGTCTGTTGTTCATCACCACTCACCTCCCCACCAAGACAAACACAACTGGAAAGGGAGGGGGGCTTCACTTCTGCGGTAGCTCTCTGTCTGTCTGTGACTGTGATGTGATGATCAATGTGTGCTACACTGCTGTGCTGCGTGGAGACGCGGAGGGAGAAAAGCATCGGAACGCCACAGAGTCTCAACCTTTTGCTCGACCCGACCTGATATTTTGATTTTTTATTTGTTTGACAAGGAAAGCTGTGCGCAAACAGAAACATGAACACATATATACATATATTATTATTTAAAAACAAAACAAATAAAATAAAATAAATAATAAAAAAAAAACTCCCCAGAAAAAAGGGCACTTTCTCTCGAGGAAGAAAAAGGGCAGGTGCTCAAGCCCCCTTTGATGTCTATGTGTGCACGTGCCTGGTTTAGTGGATTATCATGTGTAACACACTGTGCTGGTATAATGTGCCACAAGGTGGCAGTGTTCTCAGAGATTCACTAGGAACTGCAGCAATAAACATCAGCATTGAACTTACAGAACTGAACTTGGGTATCATGTGGCTCAGAGAGGAGGGACTCAGTGTTCAGAGATCTGACATGATCTAATGTGTTTGACAGAGACTTTCGTAGAAACTATTCAGTCTGACTCTTCTCAGAGTGAACACTTGTAAAATGGATCTTTATTCAGTTTTTCTGTTCTGTGCATCAGCAGGTATTTATTTGGTTAATTATATACTTTTTTCAGTTTTATTTAAAACATTTCATTAAGAAGAACTGTTTTCTTTTTCAGCAGCTGTCTTTGGAAATGTCATCAAAACAAACAAAACTGATGTTGTTTATGAAGAGGGTTCAGATATTACATTGTCCTGTAGTCAATCACCTGTAGCTTCAGATTATATCTACTGGTACCATCAGTATGAAAGATCAAAACCTGAATTTCTTGTACTCACCTTTGCCAGTGCAAAAGAAGCTCAGCGGTCTGATGTAGATCCAAGATTCTCTGTTGTAGTTGAAAAAAGGGAACAAATCCATGTGGATCTGAAGATCTCCTCTGCTGCTGTATCAGACTCTGCTCTGTACTACTGTGCTCTGAGTCCATGCTCATGAGAAATGGCAGGAAATTAGACACAGTGAAAAATGCAAAGACATCGAGCCATGCCTTTATAAAGCAGGAAGTTCCTGTGTGTGTTAATGACTGATCTGCAGTGACTTACAGCTCAGAGCACTGAGAGCCTCAACAGAGAACTGAGCTGATCTGATTGAACATGGACAGATGCTTCATACTGATTCTCATTGTGGGAACAGGTACATTATTTATGAGTGAAAACAACTGAAACAGTCTATTTACACTAGCACAGTACAGTATGTTTTTATGACTTAGTTATTCATTTATATATTCTTTTTTTTTTTCTTTTTTTTTTCATTTCATATGTTCTTATTGTTGACAGGTTTGGTGGCTGGAGACAGCATTGAGCCAGATAAAGGGACAGAAAAAAACTCTCAAGAAACAAAAACTGTCAAGCTGAGCTGCTCATACAGTACAAGTAGTGCTAATGTTTTGCTTTACTGGTACAGACAGTATCCAAACAGAGAACCGCAGTTCTTATTATACAAATATGCACCGTCATTGGGTGATCATGAAGACACCTCTGATGATCGGTTTCATTCAGCTACAACACAAACATCCACTGAACTCACTATTACTGATGTACGTCTGTCAGATTCAGCTCTCTATTATTGTGCTCTAAGAGTAGCAGCCCAGTGATACAAAACATGAAACATGTCATACAAAAACCTGAAGCTCTTTTCACTTTGAAAATATCTAGTGAAAACCACAATCAGAACCACAATCTATCCAGCTCTGAATGTAATAAACTATTTGGTCACACCTGTGAGAGTCTGAATTGGGCCTGTTATAAAACTTTAAAAAAAAAATTAACAATATGTTCAGGATATCATCATGTTGCAACCAAACCAAATCTGGTTCAAAAGATAAGACATACTTACATGTATTTTGAAATGAAATATTACTAATGTAACCATTTTTCGTTACCTAGCATACACAATTCCACTATTCTTGGCTCTTCTTGACCATTAGCCTCAGCAACCCATGAACCTTAGCAAATGCACAAAAAAAGCAAAAATATAAAGTGCTTAACAAATTTATTAGACCACCACCCAATGTAAGGTTTGTGCCACAGCTGCCCTAAACTAACAGTATTGGTAATTACCAAAATATTTTTTCTGTAATTGTTAATCTACCAGTATGTGCTCTTTAGTCACAGTAGTATTTCACAGTAGTATGTTAAAATATAATTGTTGTTATCCATGAATTTTCAA